ATAATAATTTATTTTTATGAATTAATTCAGAAAAATTTATATAATAGTTTCCTCTGAAGATACAAAACGCAAAGTGTGTTTCTCATTATTTTTATAAGAATAATTTATATTATTTAATTTTAATATATCCTTATATCCGCAAAAGGGAAATATATTTCTATTTACGATTATTATTTTATATATTTCAATTCATTAATACTTTTATTTTTAGTTTGATTTTACTGGTATATTTCCACAATGCAGAGAATATTTTAAATGGACATTATATACTCCTCATGTTCCTGTGGCTAATGGTTTAACAACAATATGTAAAGATTTTAACAAAGATTATAATTATGGTTCTTGTAATGGACATTTTATAAAATATTTCCAACATGTTACCTTTTATTTAGACCATATAAGAAGAAATCAAGCAAGTAATATTAAAGCATAATGTAAATATTTCTTTTACAAACTAAAAGATTAAATGAGTAATTATGGATGCTATTGTGCTAACTTTAAAAATTGTTATGATAAAATGGAGAGGTTAAGCTTATTGGATAAACGTACACCCATTACTAATTTATAGACACAGTGCGATGCTTATTTTCCGATGGATCTTCATCATAATATATTTGGTGTATTTGGAAATCTAGATATATAATAATTTAAACCAATTAGAAAATGATTTACATCCAAGCACTTCAATGTTTGATAAATTTAGACAAGGGATGCAAGATTCAGTAAAATCTCAAAATAAGTAACATCAGAGCCTAAGTTTATTACTTAATCAATTTAATGATAATATTATAAAATTTGTGTATAGACTAAAAACTATCGATAAATTCAGTATACCACGAATCTTAAATAATCTCGAAAACCAAGGGTATACTAGATGAGTATTGAATGCAATAGAAAAAACGACAGAATTAAGTGTTCCTGAAAGGCAGGCGATAACGGGTATAGATACTCGTGCACAAATAAGTATTTGAGTGTTGGATGTATTTGATAATAATACAGAAATGCACACAATAACAGATACAGATATTGGTGTACACGTTAATACAGGAGCGACATTTTCATTTTTTGCAATATT